ATTCTTATTCACATAGTGAAACAACTGACCAAGATTCAGCGGAACAATTCTCAGAACTGAACTAAATTATTGAACCAATGTAATAGTTAATCTATTCTCTTTTCTTTGTAACTTGCATTTCCATATGGTGCAGGATTTGCATGAAAGTGCAGAAGATCTTAAAAACTCTTTGCCTATGGGAATTGTTCATCCCCCTGCAGATGATGATGATCAGGTAAAACATTATTGGGTCAATAGAGGTCTATAACACTAGTATCCACTGTCTCAACATCTCTTCTTTCCAGATATACAATATATACATGTATATTTGAAACTAAAAAGAGTTTTTTTTCCTTATATAAGTCCGAGATATAATGTTCTTGTTTGGACGTGATTCTACTTTCTTGGATGTCTAATCATAAATTAGAATGATTTGTTTTGGCTAAACTACTAAAAGGGCCCTTGAGGTAGTTTACTTCTAAAAGGGCCCTTGAGGTAGTTTACTTTTGTTAAATAAGCTTCTATACTTTTTTTGTACCCAAACAAGCCCATATAATTTGATTTGTACTTAAACTAGCCTTTATTTTAAATTAAACATTGATTTATATTAGTTTTATTTAGGTATAACTTAAAGGTTAATTGTTTATTTGGATACAAGTTAAAGGTTATGGGCTTTATTGGCTACTGGTCATAGTTTAAGAGCTTATTTGGGTACCAATTAAGCTAGCCTTTTGTTTTCTAGTCCATCAAACTAGGTTGGAACACATGGTGACATGTTTACAAAAATTCCCAAAAAAGGAATTTGACTTATTGCATGCATTTCCAGACTGATAAAATAAAATTAGCTGACCCTTATTCCCATATGTAATGGGGTAAGGGGAAGTAGGATAGTAGGCTGTCCCCAACACCAGGTTAAGAGCAGCTTCCTTGAGAGACCTCCGAATTATGAAATGTCCTCCGTGGGACTCGATCCCACAACCTCAAGGTTAAGAACCTTGCGCTCTACCAATTGAGCTGGATGGTCATTTCTCCAGACTGATAAAATAATACCTCATAATTTAGTTGTACAACATGCAGGAACCTCTGGTTGAGCTTACTAATCCTTCGGATACAGAAATCGACATTCCTTCAAGCTTTGATTAGAAGGTTCGTAATTTGGATTTGATCCAACGATTTGAAGAGACGAGGGTGTTAGACACACTTTTATCCAGGTAGTTTCTCGTGTTTTTGTGCTTGGTACAGTTGAAGAAAGTTTGTGGTGTTTATATGAAGGCAAACGTAGCAGATTGTGTGAGTTGCTGCCATGATTGGGAAACCAGCTTGACATTGAATCCTGTAGTATACAATAATCAGCGTGTGGATGGGAAAAATACAAGGTGGTGCTTGCTTTCACACATCATTTTAGATACTTGGATTGTAGGGTCAACCTTGTTATAATCTCTGTACATTTGATATGTTGTAGAAATAATTGAATGCTTTTACTCGTTTATGTAATTTTTCTTAGGACTATACAGCGTGATGAGATGCTTTTAAAAATGATGTGATCTAAACTTTCATCGGTGATTTTTGACAGCTCAGTGATGGGATTTGGAGATTTTGATTAAACCCCTATAAGAAAACTTGTTAGGAAGAGAGATACACGGATTATTATCAGTGAATTAGTGGAAAATAAAAATTTCACAGGTAATGTTTTGTATTTTATCTATTTATTATTTTAGATTTTTTAACATACTTGAAGGACACATCATTTGACATAATTTCTTTTTTTGTTTTGCTTTATTTGTCAAATAAAGTATTAAAAACAACACATTAATTGTTAATGAGGAAAGAGAAAATAGAAATAACAAAAATACCACGCCATTATTAAATTTTTAACTAACAATAACAAATAAAAAATAACTTTAGTGATGTTTTTGCTCAAAAAATAGTTTGGTAACTAAAGTAGAAACTAAAAGTAGTTTGGTGACTACTGATTAAGTTTACCCAGTGCTATACTAACAATCTGTAATTCATGATTAAATCATAATACGGCCGAAAATCACTGATTAACAGTGTAGTTTACCCTTTAAACTTAATAACTTATGATTCATTGTCCTATAAATCGTGGATGAGATGCAAAATTAATTCGAGTTAATTGTATCACATATCTTTAAAATATGACTCTCATTTTAAATTGTTCCTTAAACTTTTAAAAGTTTCAATTTTATCTCTAAATTATGAATATCATTCTAAATTAGTCCTCAAACTTTTAAAGATTTCAATTTCCTCCCCAAAATATGACTGTCATTCTAAATTAGACTTTAAATTTTGTACATTCAAATTTCATCCCTAAATATGACCCTCTTTCTAAATTAGTCCATAACTTTTGAATCTTCCAATTTGTCGTAATCGTCCCTCAGGTGAGCCCGGAATTGGATTTCGACTTGAATTAATGGTTGGAGCCGCCACTGATCATTTAAACTTAGGTTGACCAGACACCTTAACCCACCATTTGTCTGATTTTCGTTTTACCAGAAATTAATCTAGTTCGGGAGTTGATTACAGCCAAGGAAGGATTAGCACCTTTGTAATGCCCTTTCGGAACCAATTGATTTCTCAGTTGTCTTAATTGCAAAAATTAAAAATTAAATTAAATTTAAAAGTTTGATCCAAATTACTTACCTTTGACGAATTTAAAATTGACCTAGAAATAAATCAGATTAATGTTAAACTGTAAAATAAATATTAATAAATAAAAGAATAAAAAAGGAAAATTCAAATAAAAAAGACTAAATTGAAAAGAATTAAGAATCAAGGATCAATTTGATGTTAATTAAAAGCTGCAAGGAAAAAACCAAAAGTTAAGGGTGAAATTGCAAGAATAAAAATATAACAGTGATTAAATTGAATTAATTCAAAATTATAGGGCAAAATTATTATAGGTGACTAAAATAAATTACGCATCAAAATATCAGGGACTGCAAAAATAATTTAAAAAATAGTATTTACACCCAAGCCTTCCTATATAAAGCCCTTTAAACCCAAAAAAACTCATTCCCCCTCATTTATCAAAGAGAAAATAACCTTAGTGACCGAAAATCGTATATTATAAGACATTTTCGGTCATTGATATTATTTTCTCTTTATCCAAAATATCACTCTCCCCAACTAAAAAAATCCTCTCAACCCAAATCCCCAACCGGCCTATGGTCGACCACATCCTCGCCGCCCGGTCCACATCCGATCGTCGTTCCAGCCATCACCACCGGTAGCCAAAAAACTACAAACCTACCAAAATGTTTCCCTCTACACCCTAAAATCAAATCTAGCCCCTAAATCTCCAAAATAAACCCTAAAAGGCATATATCTAAAAAATAAACTCTCGATTTTTTACCTTTTTCGATGATGCCTTTTCAACTCACGGTGGGTTTTCCCTTTCCGACGAGCCTTCTATGTGCTCCTGACGTTCTTTGGCGAGACAAAGCCTTAAGCTTTGTTTTTTGCTTTCTATTTCGAACGTTTTACCTGTGTTTTTCATATTTGGTATACTGCTTTTTGGTGTTCTTCTTTTCGATGATGTTCGTGGTTTTTGTTGTTTTGCTGGTATTTTTGTGATTTCCTCCGTATGTTGCTTGGTTGCTACTGGTTGCTTGATCAGTTTTTAGCTTGTGTTCTTCGATGGTTTTTTTTCGATGGCTTGGGTGGGGTATTTATACCCCCTCCGCCGGTGGTTATTTCCGATCCTAACAGTGATTATTTCCCTTGTCCCTATTTTACTCGTGCCGACTTGTTGTTCGTACTAGCTGGAAATCCCGGGATGGTTCAGTCTCGAGTTGCTCCGATTTGCTCTACCTCAAAATCTCGACAGGTTGCTGCGCGTGGCTTCCACGCGCCATTTGTACGGTGCCCTTGTTAAGTTTGAAACCCTAATGTGGTTCGAGTATCTTTCTGGGCCTGGTTTAGCGGCCTGCTGGGTAAGGCGGGTCTGCTATTTGGATCTTGACTTGATTGGACTATGACCTTAATTTTATTGGGACCCTGGACTTTTACTGGACCATTTGAACCTGAAAATGAATAAAATAAAAAAGAAAATAAATAATAATAATAATAAGTTAGTTATATATATATATATTACATATGTTTTTCAAAAACTATATATATTATATGTTTTCAAAACTATATAACAATATGTATATTTATAAAACTATAATATGTTTTCAAAAACTATACTATATGTTTTTAAAACTACACTATATATTTTAAAACTATATATATTTTTTTTAAAACTATATAATATGTTTTCAAAAACTATATTATATGTTTTTTTAAAAACTATACTATATATTTTCAAAAACTATATATTATATGTTTTTAAAACTGTATAATATATATTATCATAAATTCTATATACTATAAATATATAAAACAAAAAAAATCATAAAATCTCGGACGAAAATGAGTGTCTATACAAATTTATCTCCAAATTCATTGAAATATATAATTAGTTTCAATCATAGTTCCTAAAATTTGTTTTTTTCAAACAAATAATAATATAACTTGGCTTAATGATTTTATTAAGAAGGGATGTGATTAGTATATATGTATAGTTTGGGATAAAATTGGAATCTTCAAAAAGTTTGGGGACCAATTTAGAATGAAAGTCATAGTTTAGGGAGGAAATTGAAATATTCAACAGTTTAAGGATTAATTTAAAATAAAAAGTATAGTTTGGAGAAATTAACTCCTTTAATTCACGAAGAAATTTGTAAACCAAAATAAAATAATAAATTGTCTTTTAATTTATATTTATGCACTACTTTTAAGTTGAAACGAATTGGGCCGAAAAACAATAGCCGGCTTAAACCCGGATCATAATAGAACCCAATCGATAACTAACTCTAAGCCAGAATCTTCCAGAACTAAGGTCGGAGGCATCGGATATGAAGACACGTGGGTGCCCCCAGGAAAAGCGTAACTTCTTGACCAAGCAACAATCCCCTATATATATAGCCTTCCCTCACACGCTTTATCAAAGCCTGCGATATTTGTTTTCCCTTATCATTCAAGCCTTTAACAAGTAAAATAATTTGCAATCTCCAAACGATGCCTCGCCGAAGCTCAGGAGGTGAGTAATACGCTCGTTTTTATCTTCTCATGGCTGTAGTTTTAAGAGAGGTTGAATGTTGTATGTTGTGGTTATGATTTAGGTATTGATTGATCTCTATGTGTATATGAATTTATGATCAACTCCTTACGGGTCATCGTTTTGTTATGTATAGTTTGAATGATATGTGGTGGATATTTTCTTCGTTTATTCTAAATTTCAGTTTTAGCTTCATGACTTTCATCCCCTTTTTTGTTAATTTTTGGTGATTTTATTTCGGAAACTATATTGTTCGCGGAATGGATGCACATCGATTCTTAGTTTTCAATTTTTCATTAGGTAGAAACCAAGTTTTGACTGTTCATTTCGCTACTAATATTGTATAATCAAATAATGATGGTGAAATGTTGATTTTATAGGAAGGTCAGCCCCACGTCCTGCTGCTCGTGCGCCAGCGAACAATGCTCCTTTAAAGCCTGGTATTTTTCTTTATTGATCTGTATGAATAATAATATTAGTTGGTTTCAATCTTTTTGCCTAGAAGAAAATGGAATTTTATGTTACGGAATTCAAATTAGTGGCTGACCATAATGTTGAGGAGTTGGAAGTCAACTTATGCAAATCTTATTTCCCACATAGAATTAAGGGAATTCAGTAAGAAGAGGAATGGTGCCTGTGCATATTGTTGGGCATTGTGTATTCCATTTGTATTTTTTCTTTGGATTTGCTGAATTGGCATTTTAGTTAAATTTTTACCTTGTCTGGTAATGTTCATTGAACTTAATTGGGTTTTTGGTTGTTGCAGCTAGTTCTGCCCCTCCCCCGGCACCTGTGCAAAAGGGAAATGGATTTGGCTCTGCAATCGTAGATGGTAAGTCAAAAGCTGTTTCCCTTTGCTTAGAATTATTATTTCTGATAGCTATTGTTTCATTGACATGTATTGGGCTGTACTTAACTTTCTTCTTTGTTTATGCGTAGGTATTGGATGGGGTGCTGGAACTGCTATGGCTCACAGGGCGGTTGATGCCATTGTTGGCCCTCGTGTCATCAAACACGAGACTGTTGCTTCATCAGAACCAGCTGCCTATGCTGCTTCCGCACCAAACATGAACAATCTTGTGAACTCGGATGCTTGTGGCGGTCAATCCAAAGCTCTAAGTGATGTATGTATATCTTTCTTCCTTCGTTTTCATGTATTAATCCGCTGTCTCAAATAATGCTATTGAAGATCGTTTGGGAAGAGTGAATGTCCATACTTGCCGTGCATTCGAAACTAATGCTCCTTGTTTCGCTTGCAGTGTCTGACCAACTATGGAAGTGACATTAGCAAATGCCAATTCTACATGGACATGCTGAAAGAATGCCGCAGGAGCTCTGGTGCTGCGTTGGAAGCTTGATAATTGCAAAGAACGATTATCTCATATCTAGATCGTTGCAATTTAGATGTTAATAGGCGTGCCTTTTTTGTTATTCTATATTGCTATATTGTTGCAAGTAATGGGGTTGTTTGAAAAAAACGAACTGTGGTAAACTTAATTTCTAAGCAGAACCTGAATGCTTTTTTAATTGTGGACGCTTCCTTGATGATATTGCCCTCTGTTTTCCTCTAATTCTGGCTCTAGTTAGTCATTGAACTTGTAACTGTTTGCGGACAAAAGGTATATAAAATTCACTTTGATCTAGGGATGGGTTCAGGTATATAAATGAACCGAACTTTGACGATGAAGGTTATATACATGTTCGTTTATTTATTTTAAGGTCTTTGCGTTCAGTTTGTGTGTTTCTTTTAAAAATTTAATGTTGTGTTTATTTATTTTTAAAGAATTTGTATATGTTTATATATTGTTTATGAACGATTGTTTAATGTTCATGAATGTGGGCATTTAATGTTTATGAAAATATTTGTTTAGTGTTTGTTTAAAATATAAAAAATAAAAGGAAATGGAGAATTAGGAAATAAGTTTGTTCATGAATATAAATGAATTAATTGATAAACAAGTTCATAAACGAATTTGTAAGTAAATTTATTTGTGAAAATAAATAAATCAAATAAATATATGTTCGTGTACGTTCGTTTGTTAAATGAATTGGGTAAACGAGTTTTTATTCATGTAACATGAATAAACCAGTTGATAACGATTTTAAAAATAAACTTGTTCATGAATATGAACGAATAAAATATATATATATATATATATATATATATTCTTGTTTGTTTATTAAATAAATATAAAAATTTCGTTCATACTCTTAGAAAGGTTGAGGAGTAGAGTTAGGAAAATCATTTTATAAATTTTATAAATTATTTTATATTTTAGAATTTTTGTTTATTTACTATTAAAAATTTGATTCCTTTTCTCCTAATATTTTATGAATATATTTTTCTAAAAAAATTATAAATTTATCCGTTTTAATATAAAATTTGTAAGTCCATTTTTGTTTGATCCATCTTGGATCTTGACAATGGTTCAAAGGCCTTTCTTTAAATAAACAAGACAAGCATCCTAGGGTTAGAATTTAAGGAAAAATATAAATTTCAAATATAAAGCAAAATATTGAATCGAGTCTTTCGACTGAGAATTTTACCTACAAAGTATCTTTAGAAATATGTTTTAATTTGATCATATACATAAAAAAAATACTCTTTTTAAAGATTTTTTTTAATAAATTCTTAAAACAATAGTATTTTGTCAGACTAAACTTATGCCTTTCGAAAAATACGATGAACCGAATTGCATCTTTACACGCGACTCGGGGCAGATTCATATATATTTTTTTGTTGGTGTTGAAATTAAAAAAAACGTGTCTTATGGAGTATATGTTGATGTATTTTTTTTGTTAAGAAGTTTAATATGTTTTTATAAATTTTAAAAATGAATTTTAAAAATAATTTTCAGATTATGTTTTTAAAAATTGATTAACTTTTTTAAAAGAAAATTTTAATTTTAATTTTTATGATCTTCAAAAGTTAATAAAATTGATCACACGTTGACATAAAGATTGATATAATATATTTTAAACTTTATAGATTAATTTAATATACGAGTCAAAAATGTGTTAAAATTTATGAATCAATTTAGAATAAAGTTTATAATTTAGAAACCTTTTGTATAATTAGCTCATTTTAGGAAAATGAAATTATAATTTCAAATGTAGATTCTTACCTATTAAGCTTACGTCATGATAAAAAGACTCATTTGTAGATAGAAACAATTAGTCAACAAACGTTTTATAATAGAGATTTTCTTACTTAAAATGAAATGTTGCAGATCAAAATGCTTTAATTGAAAAGAATAAGAGTTAAAGTAACTATTTAATTACATTGTGAATCTTTTTGCCTTAAAATAAAAGGTAGGGACCAAAATGTTTCAAAAAAAAAGAATAGAGACTAAAATAACTATCTAATCAAACATTATGAGTATTTTTTGACATTATACCTAATAAGTACTAACAAATAGTTGTTCATGTCACTATATTTATTAAATAAAAATGAACTCTTACTCATTCCTTAAAGTTATCGTAACAACCTCTTCGATCTTATGTCAAACCTCATGATCAATACTTAATCATTGAAAATAAATCACACTAAATTTTAAACTTAGTGGTGTTTGAATTTTATTAACGAACAATAACAAGTATATACACCCATTCAATCATGTTTAACATCCCATCATTCTCATTTGAAAGGTATACTCTATCGATACATTTCATTACAAGGGAACTCTCTATTTATTTCAATTATTAGTGTAGCACATAGTATGTGGGGGATTATTCATACATGTTAATAATATCTTTGACATATTTTATTCTTGTTCATTATATTTCCTCATGCTAGGATATTTTTTTTTTATTAAAATCACAACATATCAATATCACTTGCAATGCTTTCTTCTACAATTTGTTATTTAGAGAATGTCTCACTATCAACTTTTCATAGGATCATGTGTGGATTATCAAGTAACTTGAGGTTAATATTACTTTTCTAAATATGGTACTTTACATGAGGAAATGTATGCAGAACAACCTCCTAGATATATTACTTCTGTTCAGCCCTTGTATGTTTTTCGGTTACGCAATGCCTTACATGGCCTAAAACAAGAACAAAAGATATGGTCTCTTGAACTCTCCTACTTCCTATTGTAGTTTGATTCCCAAAAATCTAAAGCATATGCTTCACTCTTCATCTATAATGCAGAGGGATCACCATGTCTATGTCTTAGGCGCAATACATTTCAGATATTCTAGCTCAATTTCATATGGTCGATGCGAAGTTTATTTTCACGTCTGTCTTCCTTCGATAAGCTACAATCGATAGTGACTTGTGTCAAGGATACCTTGTCACAATACATGCATGGTCATGTACCAGCCCAGTGGACAGCAGTTAAGCGAGTTCTTCGCTACCTCAAGGATACCTTGTGTCAAGTATTACTTCTTCGCTTACAACCTATGCTGATGCAAACTAAGGTGGACCGTCTACGGATGGTAGATCCATTACTGCTTATTTAATTTATCCTGATTCTAGTGTTATCTCATTAAAATCAACTCTGAAAATTCTCTTGTTTATTCACATAAGTTGAATATTGTGCCTTAGCAAATGCAACAACTGAAGTGCTTTGGATTAAACATCTCTTTTAGGAGATTGAAATTTCTCTTAACTGACCACTGTCTCTCTTTTATGACAATCTTAATGGTCACGTGTTTGTAAAAATTTGATCTTTCACTCTCGTAAAAAGCATCTTGTGCTTGACTTTTTCTTTGTTTATGACTAGGTTGCTACAAGATCATTACTTGTTCATCATATTTAGGGGCGTAACCGGGAATTTATTAAGGCGGGGTTAAAGTATTTTTTATTTTTCATAAATATAATTTTTTTAATTGAGGGGAGTCGGGTAAATTTTTTTATTCAAAAAAATATATATTTTATTAATTAATACTTAAAAAATTAGCGAGGACCAAGGCAAATCTTTTCCCCATGAAGTTCCGCCCATGATCATATTTCTTCTAAAATTCAACTTTAGGACACTTGTAGACACTAGTTTTTTGCCCATTTATTTTATTATTATTATTATTATTATTATTATAAATATAATAATAATAATAATAATAATAATAATAATAATTATTATTATTAAATAATTAAAAATACATTGCAGGCCCAACAGTAAATCGAGACCCATTTACATACCCAGACCAATCCAAGCACAACCAGACCCGACCTAATAATAAGCCTAAACCCAATTAGGGTTTCAACATCTCAGCACCAGCCGCCAGCTCCTCACAGTCGTTGGATCTGGAAAGATCCAACGGTCTAGAGCCCTCCAGCTTGAAACCTTAAGGTACATAACCCTAGGGACCACGTGACGCCGCCTCCGCTGCCACCGCTATTGCCGACGCCTCCACCTCCAGTTGCCTCAGCCACCTTTTGCCACCCTCGTCGAAGCCTCCAGAAGACCTAGATGGCCACCCACGTTGAAGCTCTATGGTGACTCACCGAAAGTCTCCTCTATGACCGGTCCGAGGCAAGCTAGCCACCAAACCTGCGAAAGAGAAAAACACGAACAACCACCAAGAGAAAAGCACAACAACACCAAACAAAAACAGAGCAAGAAAAATAACCGAGAGAATAGGAAGTGACTTACCAGCGTCGTCGGAGCCTCTAGGCGCCACCACGCGCCTCTGAAGCATTAGAAAATCGGAGGTATAAATCGTAGATTTGCTCCGATTATGAGCTTTTTAAGGGAAACGGAGGTCGTATCCGGCCTTAGGAGGTCGAGATCTATATTCTAGGGTAATTTGGGAATTTCGACCACCGACGATTGTCACCGGAGCACGGTGGTCGGTGGCTGCCGGAATTCCCTCCGGTGAGGGAAGCTAGAGAGAAGGGAGGGAACTTTCTCTCCTTGGAAAGAGAAACAAAAAAAGAAAATGAAAGAGTTAGCCCTTTAAGGTCTGTTTTAGGCCTTTTATACCCGCATCAAAACGATGCCATTTTGATGAGGGGTCTGTGCGTAATTAAGGAAATGGGTAAAACTCTTTCCGCAGTCCTTCTGAGTTCTGTAAATTTGCAATTTGGTCACTAAATCAAGTTTCAGTATATTTTAATTTTATCTTTTAATTTTGTTTTATTATAATTTAGTCACCGTATATATATGTTTATATATTTAGGGTAAATATCATATTTAGTCCCTTATAATTTAATTAATTTTTATTTTAATCTCGAATTAATTATGGATAAATTATACTGTTAAGCACCTAGATTTAATAACATTTCGAACTAGAGCCTTTAATTTTGATATTTTACATTTTAATCTCTGATATTTTAATTATTTTCATTTTGACCATGAATTTTATATATTTTTCAATTTAATTCTATACTTTTAATTTATTTTATTTTGGTCATTATTTAATAGAAATTTTATTTTATTATTATTATTATCCTTTATTTTTCAATACAGTACTTTAATTATTTTTAGTCATTAATATTTATATAAAATATAATATAATTTGAATAATTTCATATTTTAATAATAATATTTATTTTTTAATATTAAAGAAAGGGGCTGTTTTAAAGCAACTAGATGTCATTTTTTGATATTTTTAAATAAATACCCTATTTATAAAACCATAAAAATATATATATATTAATATCTTTTTCCTTAGAATTATTCAATTGAATCTGAAATAAGAGGATCATAAATTAAATTTATATTTGAATTCTTAAACTCTATTATTAGAGCCAATTTATAATTAATGTGTACTAATTTTGGGTGTTGTGTGGGTGCTAATCCTTCCCAAAACGTAACCGAAAACGAATCCCTTTTTATTAATAAAAAGAATGAATTTTTGGTTAAACGCATATCAGTTTATCTTTTGACTGATGTTTTCTTAAAAACTCTTTTAAAAGATGATTTTTAGGTATTTGACCTACCTAACCCGAAAAGTCGATGGCGACTCCCAAAACATTTTATTAAAAACCATTTATTTATTCACATTACTTTTTCCGCCAAGGAAATTTTGTGTCCGGGCGAAAACTGGTTACGACAACACTCTCACAAAGCCTGTTGGTATAAATCTTTTTCTTCGCTTTTGATCCAAGATTTGTCTCTCTAACGGATCCTTTATCTTGCGGGAGTGTATCAAAGAGAGATAAACAATTGTAATTCTCTATTTGTCTCTCTAACGGATCCTAGACTCATCCTTATTATTATCCAAGATTTGTGTATAATCGAGTCTCTATCTGATTATGTACAATAGAATTCTATCTATATCCTAGACTTATATATACAGATAAGTCTAGAGCGCACGTCGCATATCAAAACAGACCACTAATGTGATATACCGATGCATACCACTAATTAAATTGTCCTTATTACATAAATATGAAAAAATATAATAATCTATCCACAATTAATCTTTTATTATTATTTAGTTTAAATTTTAATAGGAATATACTTAAATTATATTCTTTATTAAAAATTATAATTATTTTAATAACTTTTATTTGTTTAGGATTGGATCACTTAATTTATTTAAGTTTGTATATTTATTCCAACAATAATAATCAAACCCAACAATCGATACTATTCATCGTGAAAAATCGTATTTTTTAATATGCACTGTCGCCGAAAAACTATATCAAGAGAAAAATGGCCTTTTTCAAATACTTTTCCATCTCCTCTTTAACCCACTTGGGAAAAGGAATACCTAAAAAAACCATTTTTTCCTTTAAAAATAAAACTCCATGACTACAATATAACATTTAATTCATGTTGATCTAATTAAGTTTGTTCTGATCTAATCATTGCTAAAAAAAGGTTTGTTCTGATTCATGAACTTTCTTGATATATCTAAAATGATATATTTGTAATCAATAATCAGCTTCTGCTAATGTGATGAGAATCTTAAGTATGGGGCTTCATATAGCTCTCCGACGATAGTATATATTGAAGAACAGGTTTTTCCGACGATGAATAGGATTTCCGACTGTTGGATTTGATAATTGCTGCTAGGATGAATATGTAAACTTATGTAAATTACGTGTTCCAATCCTAAACAAATAAAAGTTCCTAAAATAATTATATTTTTAATAAAAAAATATAATTTAATTATATCCCTATTAAAATTTAAACTAAATAATAATAAAAGTTTAATTGTGGATATATCATTATATTTTTTATATTTATTTAATAAGAACAATTTAATTAATGGTATACATCGATGAGTAACATTAGTATTGTGTTTCAATGTGTGATGTACCACGTGCGCTCTAAAATTTTCCCATATTATGTTTGTATTTTATTGTTTATCACCCACCCTTTTCTTCAATTGTCCCTATAAATATATCATTTTGCTATAAATATATCATTTTGTGGTAAAGAAGAGAAAAAAACATAATAAAATAAAAACAAAATACAACCGAATTAAAATCTAATTACATAAATAACCTTGATTTTATAACGAATTTCTAATGTGAGTTGTCAACAAAGAATGCATCTAAAATTGGAATTAAGCATTCTTATTAGTTTGACAACTTTTATTAATTGTTAGAAAATTTACTTGTGTATGTAGAAAATTTATGTCGAAAAATTTACTCATTTAAAATTAGAGATGTGCCACGAACCTATATGGATTAGTAAAGTTAAAATCTCGAAGAATCTTAGAGGACAATAAAAAAATGACAAACCTCGATCAATTATTATATGAATAAAAAGCTTTATTATTATTATTGTTATTGAATTTCACATCAAATTTTGATCTTCAATGTCTTTAATCTATCTTTCAATCCCCATAACTGCATAAAGCTCTCTCTCCTTGGGAGACTCAAAATCATCATATTCTTCTTCCAGTTCCAATGGAAGGTCTTGTTCCTTTCTCAGCTTTGAATACTCAACTTTTTGTCCATATAATTTAGCCAAAACCAAGTAGAGAGTCATCGTGAAAATGGTGACCACAATCAAGGTCCAGCTGAACAGAATATTTACTAATGATTTAGCTCGGTGCAGTGCCTCGTCGCTTGAGCAGCTAACAATCTGATGACCATCTTCAAAGTGAAGGAAGCAGCCTTTGGGAACCAACGCCGGAGTCCACATCATGTATCCCATGAGCACGAGCCAAACACCTTGATACAAAACACTGATGGACCTCATAAAGCTGACCATGAAGCTATCAGGAAACCCAATCGCAAGGAGCGTGGTGGTTAACGAAACAACGATTGCACTCTGCAGAAGCAAGTGATAGTGACCCTCCAGCCCCATGTGATCGGCCGAATGGAAGTGGAAGAGGAGCAACTGCTGCGCGAAGGCTACGGCTGCAACGAATTGTGATAGGCAATACGTAGCTTTGGGGCAAACTTTATCAAGCAGGATAGCAAAAGCTGCGTAAGTAAAAAAGGTCATTGATATGACAGAGTGCTCGAAGTTGCGGAGACGGTTCGATGGGATGGTTCCATCGGGACCGATAGGTCGGTAGCCGTGCATTGCAGGGCCGATGAAGAGCTCCATGGAGGCGGTGATGGAGGAGGCCGCCATGATTATGAACAGCTCTAGGTACCTTAATTTTGGTGCGGGGAACCATGAGGAGGATGTGTAGGAATTTGGGTGGAGAGAATGGAGCTTGATATGGTTGAAGAGATGCCAAAAACCAAGTAAAAAGAAGGCCAAACCTGGCAAAACATGCCCCACTAAAGAACCCATGTCTTGCAACTTTTTGTTTAGTGTATTTGGAGAAAGAAAGAGAATGGAAATAGCTTGTTTTCAATGTTACAAGGGAGAGAGAAAAGAGGAGGCAGAGTTTGGTGAACAAAGGTGTTAGATTGGTTCCATTTATTTTTCTTTCACACTAAAAAAACCTTTGCTTTTTTTCTTTCCCAGTTTTCGCGGTGAAGTATTGAAACTTCTCCCATTTCCCCCCCTAGTTTCTACTCCACGGAAGACTAATCAATTTCCATTTTTATAGTAAAATTCTCATACTCTCTTTCTTTTTCTTTTTATATATTTATTTCACACCATTTTGTTTAAATATTAAACTCATTTTACACGAATCAAACTATCGCAGTGGTTTAGGGTCGAGCACAATAGACTCAAGGGTTTTTAAACTTTCATTGTCAAATGGTAGAGAATTTTTAGAATAAATATTACTTTATAATCACCATAGATTAATAATAATAAAAAATACTAAACTTATTTTAAAATGTTGTTTTATTTAGATAAATATTGCTAGGGAAATATTGTAGAAGATCATGATATCCAAATAAAATAGAAAAAATGCATGGGAGATCACAAAGTACAATGATCCCCACAAATATATGCTAAAAATACATCTCACAAGAACACGGGAAATTGGAGTTGGATGTAATATGTGTATATGTAGAGGTGTTGTTCGAAAAGAATTCAAGAATTCTGGTTTCAATCTTAGTTGCATTTACTTGAAATCAATTTAGATATGGTTTTGGGCGGCAAAGCAAAAGGTAATGAAGTTGGTATTCAGTGATTGAGATACATCGTATAATGAGCTTCTAACGTTGTTATATGTAATGAGCGATTCATCTCAAGAATCATTGTGGGGTATGAAACTCTACCAGCATACGCTTTGGACAATCAATATAACACTCTAAATCTGACCTAAAATATGCAACAGTCTAAGGGGGTCATATTCGGATCACCAAGGACCCTCGACCTAAAATTTGGAATTGAAAGTTTAAAAAATCGAATTATAAATAAAATTAGAAAGTTTAAAAGATTGAACATAAATAATATTAGAAATGATAATATTATAAAAAATTATACAAAACATGGAACCACAGACAATTTAGAGGCTCGCATCGTTCGGTTGGAACTGTTGTCAGTAGTATTAAAGAATCTGTTAGAATAAAATTGTATAGAAGTCATATGAATAAGGTAGATGCTGTTAATAGGAAACTGTGTATAGATGGAGGTATGGTGTAATGTCTTTGTGAGTACGTTTTGTAGCAGCTTGTGCTGCCTTCCTTTTGGATGAATGAATTTTACTTATCCAAAAAAAAAAATATAATAGCATCAAAGTTACATATTGAATCATAACGCAAGGGTCATGATATACATACTCTATAGAAGTAGATAAGTACTGCACTCTGTAAAGAAGGTTGATGGAACTCTAAAATAATGTCAACGCCTTGGCTCTACTCAAATCTAATGATCTGAAATGAGAAAATAAATCTGAAGATTGAACTTTATAAGCGCAATAATATACAGTCATCCAACTGAAACTACATACAAAAAGAAATGTAAACTGAGTAAGCATAAATATATCATGAAGTAATTGCAACATATGACATACTTTAGAGTAGGACAAGTCACAAATTAAGCTCACCTCTCGACTTGTTGATTTTCATTAACATAGTGGATTTAGTAAATAGAAGACCTTAGACATGTATTTACAAATGATTACACAGACATTATGAAATATATATATATATATCACATGCCATATCCTAAATGTAGTTACAGACAAAATCAAGAGTAGAACTCATATATTTATATTTAATAATAGTTTGTATATACATCAAATTTTGAGTATTTGGATTGTCTCATGCCGTTAAAGTCGTATAGTCGTAACATTAATCGTCACTAAGATCATATAGTATAATAGTACTCATAAAACCGCTTATAGTAATACTTACTATCACGATTACATAACATCATTACAAAATGCACGGAAAAGATCATACAATTAATATTGATGTTTTCAACTACTTGATTGAAAATTAGAAGCAAAAAATAATATCGATTTAAAATTAAACAAAGTATTTGAGGACTAAATAACTTGAGAATAAAGAAGGCATGACATGATATTTACCAAATATAACCTTTAATAAGTCTTTTCTTATTTTTATCTTTATCTATTACACGTGGCCCTCACTAAAACAAACTAATGCCTTTTTCTTACAACATTTATTATAAACATATAATATATATTTGTTTCCCACAAATATGGGACCCAGCGTGGGACCTCTTTTAAAATAAACCCCTTTTTATCTTATAACTAAACATGATTTTTAGAACAAGATCGATTAGCGAACCGGTTATGCTATCGGTTCACTGGTTCAACCGGGCGAACCAGTTTGATCGGTCGGAAGAACCGGACGACATCATAATTATTTAAAAAATTAAATAAAATACCAAAAATATTTAATAAAAAATATTTTTTTATATCACAAGTCATATTCAAAGCAAGTCATAACATATATAAGTTAAAAACTATAAAATCAAGTAAAACAAAATGATTCAAATTAACTACAACATAATATTTAAGGTAAAACATATTAAATAATAAATATAATTATATAACTATAATTAAAAAATAAATTTGGGGTTAAAAAAATCATAATAAAATGATATTGTTTGATTTAATTTTTTTTTAAAAACAATCTCACATGCTAAGAAACATAGAAGAGCATCCCAACTAACTTCTATAAATAATAGAGGTAATTTGACATTCAAAATCATAGAGTCTTTTGGTGAGCATTGAGCGAACTATTCTTCCATTTCAATCAAGCTCGAATTTTAGGCTTCAATCGAGCTTCTAAATTTTTTTTGAGTTCAAGCCTTTTCGAGTTCAAGTTTCAATATTATATTTCGAGTTCGAGTTGAACTTGATAATTTTTAGCTCGTGAGTTTGAGTTGAGTTGAGCTTACTTTTAAAGTTTTCAAGTTCGAGTCGAGCTCAGCAATACTCGAGTTTGACGTGGCTCGTTTAACAAACTACGTCGTTTGGTTTAATTTTAAAAAAAAAACAAAATTGGCGGTTTTCTCCGATTTTTCCCGGTTTTCAGCCGGTCCGGTTCGAACGGTTCAGCGGTTTTCACTAATAACGGTTCAACCGGTGTAGATTGAACCGGACTAGACAGCGATTTCCAGTTGAATCGGTTGAACCGGCCGGTCCGGTCCGATTTTCAAAACACTGTTATTAAACCAATGTATTTGAAACGTAAGAAATAGAGGAACCACCATTTATGTTCGTCTTTCTTATTGCCCATTATTATTGTTTTAATTTAGTTATTTTTAATTTTATTATATTTTACAATTGATTTTAAATATAAGCTAAAAAGTGCACATTAAAATATCATTTGAAATCATACGATAATAACATTATTATTATCTAAACTTTCAACATTTTCATAAGCTTGTAAACAAACAAAAAATAAAATTCATAAGCAAAATAATAAAATATCGTGTGTGTGTCTCTCTCTCTCTATATATACATTGAAAGTTGCTAGCCATGCATGCACCAAATTGGTTTCAATAATGCACCGAAAGTGCATTAGTTGGCAGCAATGATAAAGTGCATTAGTTGGTATAATAATTCTCATATTTAGTCATTGTACTTTAGGGTATTTTCAAGATTAGTCCTTAAGCTTTAACTATAGCTTCAAAACCATCCCAAAGCATTCTAGTTTTCTTCCAATACTAAAGAGAATTTAGAGAGTTTCTTGAGAGTTGTTTTCTCCTTTTTATCAAGAGAGAATTATCATTGTTTTCTCCTTGGTGGATCAAGAGAAGTTGTAATTCCTATTTTCTCATAGTGAAATTCTTCTACCGTTGCCCGTGGTTTTTATCCTATATTATTTAGGGGTTTTCCACGTAAATTTTGTCTCTTTTATCTTCATATTTTATTTTCTCAAATTATCAGTTGTGATTTTACTCTATTCGATAGCCGTCTTCCGCAATAATTGGTATCAGAGCTAGATTAGAGTGTGTAATATCTGCTTATTGTCTTTGTGGTTGCCACCAAAAGGTGGATCCTCCAACATAAAAAAGTAAGAAGTTATTACTCATTCTTTGAAGGTTCCAGAGAACTATTCACGATAGTGAAATAGTGTGAGTTATCCGTAAAATAAGCTATGACAATGAAATTTGATATTGAAAAATTCAATGGGAGAAATTTCTCATTGTGGAAATTGAAGATGAAGGCCATTATGAGGAAAGACGGTTGTCTAGCAGCTATCAGTGAAAGGCCAGTAGATTTCACAGATGACAACAAATGGAACGAGATGGAGGGGAATGCTTTGGCAAACTTTCATCTAGCATTAGCAGATGAAGTATTGTCAAGCATCGAGGAGAAGAAGACAGCTAAGGAGATATGAGATCATCTCACCAAATTGTACGAGAACACATCGATGCACAATAAAATTTTCCTTAAGAGGAAATTGTACACTCTTCGTATGCCAGAATCTACTTCAGTGACGGGGCACTCAAACACGCTGAACACTTTATTTTCTCAGCTTACATCCCTAAGATGTACAATAGAAGAATAAGAATGTGATGAACTTCTACTTCAAAGTCTACCTGATTCGTATGAACAACTCATCATCAACTTGACAAACAGTAATGTCACCAATCTAGTCTTCGATGACGTTGCATCTGTTATTCTACAAGAAGAAAATCAGCGCAAGAATAAGGAAGACAGACAAGTAAATCTGCAACAAGCAGAAGCATTGACAACGATGAGAGGGAGATCAACAAAATGTGGCCAAAGCAGCAGTCACAAACATGGTAGATCAAAGTTGAGAAGCAAAAAGAATTTAAAGTGCTACAACTGTGGAAAGAAGGGTCACTTAAAGAAGGATTATTGGAGTCTAAATAAAAACTCCAATCCACAAGGCAATACCATAAACACTTCAGATGATGGAGATGCTCTATGCTGTGAAGCATCAACCACCGTGAAAGGCAGAAAAAGATTTACAGATATATGGCTCATTGATTCGGGAGCAACATATCACATGACC